TTCAAACATTTAAACATGGCTATCACATCCCTCCTCAACCTTCTTTTCTTCAAGGTAATTATACCCCATTCCCTAAACCAGTTCTCATATGGCTAGGCTTCTCCAGTGGTTCTCAACCTGTGGGTCCCCAGATGTTATGGCCTTCAACTCCCAGAAATCCTAACAGCTAGTAAACTGCCTGGGATTTCTGGGAGTTGTTGGCCAAAATCTAGTCGTGTCCAACTCTGGAGGGTGGAGCTCATCTCCCTTTCTAAGCCGAAGAGCAGCCTCCATGGTCATGTGGCCCGCATGACTGCATGGAGTGCCGTTACCTTCCTGTAGAAGCGGTACATATTGATCTACTCACATTTGCATGTTTTTGAACTGCTAGGTTGGCAGAAGCTTGGCCTAACAGCAGGAGCTCACCCCACTTCCCAGATTCGAACCACCAACCTTTCAGTCAGCAAGTTCAGCAGCTCAGCCATTTAACCCGTTGTGACACCAGGGGGTCCTAGGGTAGCAATAGCTAAATAGAAATAGCACAGAGGAACATATTTGTTTCTCCAGTACCCTGATACTACTTTGGGATCCTGGAATTGTTATTTTGTAAAACAAAAGGAAAAATACACAAGTGCTATCATGCTAGCATAACACCTTATCTGCTAGTTCCATCCCCCTTTCAGAAGCAAGGCAGGTAATATTTCCCAGAAAAGCATCAGTATCTGTTCCTGAACAAGCCTTAAAAAGTTACTTTTCTAAAACTGTTGCTCCAACAGTGCAGCGGCCAGCATGGATAGTGGGAATGTTGTGTTTCTAAGAGCTCTCATCCAAAAAGGAACTTTTCCAAACTCTGTACTTGAGAAGCAAGGAAGATTCTTAAGGCACCATTGCTGATTTTGTACAAAAGCTGCTGTTGCTCTCCTGCTGAGTCCTAGAAATACGTTTGGAGTCCTAGAAGTAATCAGCAAGAACTTTGCACGGCTGTCAGCTGTTTTATGAATGAACACCAACCTGATTCAGCATGTGAGTCATCCTCAAAAGCACCAGAAGCACTGAATACACTTGCATATATAATTCTACAGTTGTTGACAGTTACACTCGGGAAAAATCAGTACAAATACAATCTGATAGCGCCCTCTCTTTTTTCTTTAAAAGCTTCTCCTTATTTGTGTTATGAGTTAATCAATACAGTCCTGTGTAAACATATCAGACCTCCCTAGTGCTTTATATCCACTGGAGTTTGGTTCCAGGATCGCCCTGCAAATACCAAATCTGTGGATGCTCGCATCCCATTATATACAATGGGGTAGTAAAATGGGTCCCCTTATATAAAATGGATACAGAGTTTAGTTATTGTATGTTTTAATTGTATTATTTGTTTAACTTCAGGAGAAAATAGAGAAGCATAAATGTTTCCTTCATTAATAAGTCTGTACATTCTGTCCAGGAAGATCAAGTACTAGAAACTTCCTCACTCTCTTTCTCCCTCCCTCCCTTTGTAGTAATTAATGAGTGTGTATTCATTACAAGATTATGGTTGTTTGTAGACTTTCTCCTCTGTGTCACATTTCAAGCATTTAAGACCGCAACTGAATGCCACACTTAGGCAGGAAAAATGAAATGCAAAGATACAGTGACACCTGGCTCAACAACAGTCCATGTGAGAAAGATCTTGGGAGTCTTTGTAGACAACAAGTTGAACGTGAGCCAAGAGTTTGATGCAGCAGCTCAAAAAGCCAATGGGATTTTGGGCTACATCAAAAGTGGTAGTGTTCAGATCGAGGGAAGTCATGGTGCCTCTCTATTCTGCTTTGGTGAGACCTCTTTACCTGGAATATTGTGTCCAATTCTGGGCACTACAGTTAAAAAGAGATATTGACAAGCTGTAAGGTGTTCAGCAGAGGGTGACTAAAATGATCAAAGGTCTGGAGACCATGAATCACTATGAAGAGCATCATAATGGTTTGGGTCTGTTTAGCCTGCAGAAGAGAAGGTTGGGAGGAGACATGAGGGCCATCTATAAATATGTGAAAGGATGTCCTAAGGAAGAGGAAGCAGGCTTGTTTTCTGCTGCCTTGGAAACTAGGACTCAATGGAACCAATTACAGGGAAGGAGTTTCCAATTGAACATTAGGACGAACACCATGACCATAAGAAAAGTTGTTCAATAGCGGAACTCTCTGCCTTGGAGTGAGGTGGAAGCTCCTTCCTTGGGGACTTTTAAACAGAAGCTGGATGGCCATCTGTTGGGGGTGCTTTGATTGTGCTTTGCCTGCATGGCAGGGGGTTGGACTAGATGGCCCATGTGGTCTCTTCCAACACTATGATTCTGTGATTTATTGTACTTTTCAAATTTTCACTAATCAAAGCTCTCTGGGCCATGTAAGGTCTGTCAAAATCTAAAATATTTTAATTCCTTAATATCCCAGTTCTATTTTCCACTGCAAAAGAGGAAGGGGAGAAAATGAGAACTGAGAGTAAAAATTTCTATATATAAAACTGTGCATTTGTTTCTGATTTCTAAAACTTCATTGTAAATTGTAGTTGTTGGAGGGTTAAAAGCAACAAAACTAGAGTGTTCAGAGATGAAAGGCACTCTATCGATTTCTGCCCATGGAATCTGTGTTCAAAAGCACCTGTATTTGTGTCTTTGTCTCTGATTCATGTAAAGTGAATGCCTTTTTGAATAGCTATTTGGGCTGAGATTGATGGCAGTCATTCATGGCAAAGGGATGAATAAAAATAAAATATGCTTTAAAATGTTAGAGAGAAGAGTGAGAGAATGAGCTATGTTGAACATATTGCTCTCCTTATTAGGAGGCATACTATAACTAGCAGAAATGCTGCAGATGCACGTCATTTGTCAAAAGTTTAATTTGAGGCATTAGAGTACTGAGAATCTTGCTGACCCCAAGCCTCCCTGATCAAAATCCAAAATGACATTCCTAATTATTGTGAATATAATAAAATCTCTCCTACAGGAAGAAAAGAAGAAAAGTCAGAAACTAAAATTGGTTTGGTAGGTGCATCTGTAGTCATGTTAAATAACTGGGAGCTTCAGCATAAAATATGATGGTCTATACATAAAAAGGAACCCCTGGTGGTGCAGTAGGTTAAACCATTAAGTGGCTGAGCTTGCTGACCAAGTTGGCATTTCAAACCTAGGGAGCAGGATGAGCTCCCGCTGTTAGCCCCAGCTTCTGCCAACCTAGCAGTTCTAAAACATGCAAATATGAATAGGTACCGCTTCTGCGAGGAAAAAAAGACACTCCATGCAGTCATGCCAGCCACATGATTGTGGAGGTGTCTGTGGACAACGCCGGCTCTTCGGCTTAGAAATGGAGATGAGCACCACCCCCAGAGTCAGACACAACTAGACATAAAGTCAGGGGAAACCTTACCTTTACCTATACAGAAAAAATATCTAGCCAGGTGGAAGTGGTCTTAGGGTGCATCTGTAGAATTAATGTGGTTTGACACCAAATAAACTGCAATGGCTCAATACTATTGAATCATGAGATCTGTAGTCTGGCAAGGTACCAATACTTTTTGGCAGAGAATGGTAAAGATCTTATAAAACTACAACTCCCTAAATTCCATAGCACTGATTGACACTGTGTGTGTGTGTGTGTTAATTACTAGGATTGATATGCCAACAAAACATATCAATATAATATCTTAATACGAGCTTTCTTAAGCTGCACATTATTTTATTTCCTTCCAATGAACACTGTCATATATGGAATTCCAGCTGATGTTTTAACTTGTTGTACTTCATTATGTCAACCATATTTACAGTCATATTTATTTTTACTAGACAGTTTTGCACTCTAAACATATTAATCATCATCATCATTATTATTATTTGAAAAGCATGAAGGAAGGCGAGTTTCGTGAAAAGTGTGAGCACCTGTTAACCATATAGTCAAAGAAAGAGACATTACATTCATTAAAGTAATTTCCCTATACAGATCTATTTACTAGAGAAATCGACTTTGATTTGATATCATATCCACCAGTTTTTATGTTGACTGACACAGTGCATCTCAATAAGGATAGTTCATTCCTCTTCATCAATATTTAAGTTTCTGTATTTGCTATTTCTTAAAATAAGATACTACTCCGAATATTTATTTTAAAAAATCTCATCAATTCCTTTCCAGAATACAGCTATCGCTGGGGGGGGGGGACACTATTAAGGGTTTGGTGTCACCCTAAAAACTTTAAAGAACTAAATAATTGCCAGTTTTATTTGTTGTACGCTTGTATAGACTATCCCCTACTTGCACTTGCCAAACTGTATATAGTCCAGGGAAACGTAGGCCAAATAAAACTTGGCAAAATATCACAAGACTCTTTGCTTTCGAGATTATTTCTAGAAACATGTCTATAGAATCACAGCCCAAAAATGCTGGAAAAATTATACAACTTAAAAATAAATAAATGATGAAGTAGATACTGTAAAGCCTGAAAAATGTGAGCTCATGTGTAGAAATGTGAGTTGAATTCCATACAGAGACACATTCACAGTACAGAACTGAAAGGAAGGGGTCCAGTCAAAATATAAGGACAAAAAGTCTCCATATATAGAAAAATAACAAACCCATATTATAGTGTGTATATATTATATATTATCTATTTTATATGGGAGAGAAGACGTTTGTGTGTGTATAATGAGGTGGCCAACAAGTAGAGAATATTTTGTAATGAATATTTTGTAAATAAAGGTACATTTAGCTACATGTTCCCATTTTTCCTAAGCATGACAACTTTTGGGACACCCTATACTTGTGAGACAGCTTCTTCCTCCCCAAATAAAATCCCAGCTGTGCAAAACACTTGTACTTTGAGGAGAAAAGTTCCACAAATAAAGTTAATCCATCACAATTTTTTCTTTCTTCCCTTGCACCAACCTGTCCCAACAAAGACTTCCTTTTTTTGAAAAATGTACTCCAAAAAGTGGGAAACAATCTTAAGACACAATGTCTTTGTTCTCAGTTGACCCAACCCTAGATACTTACAGTCAGGTTGCCATGTAGCGGATGCTCCAAGGGCACAGCGGAGTCCAGAGAAAGGCCTCGTCTTGCCCAGTATTTGCTGGAGAACATCATCATTGCGGGTTGCATTGTGGCCTGTGTAATTGTGTCTCTCCACCGCAGGGGGAATCAGGCAGCAGGGCCGTTTGGTGGAGAGCTATCCCTTATGCTGGTGCTGAATAAGGAGCAATCCAAATGCCTTTCCCCTCCTCCCCGGGAAGGTTTTTATATGCCTAGGAGAGAACTGATGAAAGCCTGATTAGAGCAACCCTGGGGGAGCTGGCATTGTTATAGTGCCACACTGACACACACACAGGTCTTGCTGTCTTCCAAATGCCTTGAAGCTCTTGGCGTCAATCCCTAGTAACTTGCTTTTCTTTTTAAACTGATTGCACACTTATCACAAGTTGATCAGCCTTTAAAAATAAAGCTACCTGATTTTTACAATCAATCTTTGCCAGCAAGTGAAGTACAGCAAACTGGGCAGAATTCCTTCTCTGGTCCTTTTGTTAACAAACAATGAACACACCACTGTGAACATTCGGTTCTGAAGGCAAGGGAGAAAGTGTTTTATGAAAGGAATAAAGAGATCAATTTCTATTGTATTTGTTGATTTTATTCTCCCCTTCTCCATAGCTATATATTACCTTAACCATCTCATATTTCCCCTATATGCTTATAGAAACAAATTGGGTCCAGTCACTGGGATTCAAATATCACTGGAGCTGTATCCACACTGTTACCAAAAGCTTGATGTGCCAAGTATTTGCTATGAATGATACCTTGAACAGTTAAATCGTAAAGCTGACTCTTTAAAAAAGGGAGGAAATGTTGAGGTTAATCACCTGTCATTAATAGACAAATGAAAGCCATTTACTACTTAATGGAATCAGCCATTCCAAATGTAAATACTAGTTATCATATGACATCTCATGCATCACGATTTGTGCAAAAACTGCGATTCCATTATTTGTATAAGATGTAATGAAGTCCATATACATGCTTTTATGATGAATAAATGCTTTCCCGGAAATGACATTTCATGTAAAATGAGGAACCCATTAAAGAGAAGTCTGATTGCCCTTTTCATTTTGTGTTATCTGCCATCCAGGAGGCCTCTTCAGATACGCCCAGATGTTAGTTTCACAAAGCAATGGAATTGGGGGCACGGAGCAGGGTTCAGGTCTAAATATTCATGCATTTCCAATTAAAAATCAGTCTGTTTACTGAGAATGCATCTACACTGTAGAATTGATGCAGTTCGATACCACTTTAACTGCTATGGCATAATGCTGTGGAATCCTGGAAGTTGTAATCTGATGAGGCACCAGTACTCTTTGGCAGAAAAGGCAAACAACCAGTTCCCATGATTCCATGGCATAGAGCCACAACAGTTAAAGTGGGATCAAACTGCATTAATTCTACAGGTTAGATGCACCCTTAAATAATTAAAACTCATTATGTGATGAAAGCTCACAGAACATGATAGAATTCAACACTGTTACTGTTTCCTATTTCAAGTGTTACTTAGCACTAAAAAGAGAGATTATGGCAAGAGTTCAAGAAAGAAAGTAGGACTTTCTGGCAAAGCAGTCTTCATTTAAAAGCCAGACACTGGCTCATCTTGAAAGAATGAATAAATGCAGAAATACATAAGTAAATAAATAAACAAACAAACAAACCAATCCTTGATCAATATCTCCTGCTGGAAGTATCCAAGCTTCCCACACTGAAGTACGAAATCAAAACCAAGAAGACTTAGATACACCTTACATGTGCTTCAAAAGGATGTCAGACATATTAACAATAACGATATCTCTATTTGATAGTATCTTTTTAAGTTACACCACATTGCTTTTTTCTTGAGTATCATTATCATTCAAAGAGAAATATTAAAGGATTTAAATGTTTTTATTGTGCTTCTTGCAAAAGATTTCAGAGCACTATCATCTAACAAAGCAGAGTGTCTTAAAAGCATGTATTGTGTAAAACAAATTACACTGAACAGTTTGATAATCCAGATATTTATGAATTCTACTTCTTACTGCCACCTCAATAACAGTTGACTAACACTTGTAGTACAAAACCATCTCTCTGATATCTGTGAAGAATGAACTACAAGTGGTGTATCCTTTATAAATACATACCTTTATACACAGATGCTTCACGATACTAGTGCAATCAAAATACGCAAGACAACCCCTACATTATTGCATAAGGAATTGTATAATGGTTCCATTTCACGTTTTTGGTCTAAACAACACCTAGAAAGATTTTTTGAGATCTTTATGAAATTTGGCACATTCAATTAATGTTATTACACAACTAATGAGACAAGCAACTTGGGTCCTGGTCCAGTTCATCCTGAGAACAGGTTGGTTGGGTTACAAAAGAGCACCTTGTGGCTGCAACTACACTGCTTTTCAATGAACTCTTTAAGCACTATTTAAGCATTCCTTTAGCTGCCAAATCAAGAGTTTAGACAGGATTTAGAATTGCTTGGTTTAAAAAGTAGAAGATGATGCAGTTGCTGTTTGTTTTATATTCATTGAATACTGCTTTACTGAGCCCAGACTAAATCCAGCATTGTGCTGCACTATTGTGACCATGCAAAACATTCTCTCTCAGCAACAAACTCAAAAACCAGCTCCAGTGGGTTTCTCAGGCCTCTACTGCCCCTTTTTGGGATGCATAAGTTAATACAGCAAATATCCAGCAGCTGATTGAAAAGGACTTGTATTCAGCTTTACTGAATCGTTTTTATAATGTATTGCCGAAGGTTTTCATGGCCAGAATCAATGGGTTGCTGTAAATTTTTTGGTCTGTTTGGCCATGTTCCAGAAGCATTCTCTCCTGACATTTCACCCACATCTATGGCAGGCATCCTCAGAGGTTGTGGGGTCTGTTGGAAACTAGGCAAGGGAGATTTATATATCTGTGGAATGCCCAGGGTGGGAGAAAGAACTGTTGTCTGCTTGTCTTCTTTCTCACAACCTGGACTTTCTACAGATATATAAACCTCACTTGCCAAGTTTCCAACAAACCTCACAACCTCTGAGGATTCCTGCCATAAATGTGGGCGAAATGTCAGGAGAGAATGCTTTTGGAACATGGCCATACAGCCCAGAAAACTCACAGCAACTCAGCGATTCTGCCCATGAAAGCCTTTGACAACACATGACAATAATGCTTGCTAAGTTAGAAATCAATAGGAAAAAAGAAAAGACTACACTCCAGGAGGGCAGGCTCAATAAAGAAAATCATGGCCTTGAGCTTGTAGGACCTGATCAATTGTTGAGGATAGAGTGACTTGCAGGTTTCCCATTCCATTTGCCACGAGTCAAAGTTTACTGGATGGCAATTAACAACAAATAATGTATGAAATACTGTTGCGACAGTGGAGGGATTGGTACCCCCTTCAAGTAAATATCAGGTAGCCCAACTATGAAATAACTTTTGGTTACCTTAAGGAAGTATCTGCATGCAATTGTGTTCAAAGCCTCATGAAAGTAATTTTCACAAGTTCCAAAGGAACTTTATAAACAAAATCAGAACTAAAATTTAACACTATTGCTATTAAAACCATAACTGTTGACTCACCTAGTAGTTCACTAGAGTAAAGCACAGGTACAATGTAGTAATGAAAACTTATCTTCATTTAATGATGTCTTTAATATAAATAACACATCCTTCAAACTTAAAACAGAATTTATTTAGGAATCTTGCTCACAATTTTTTAGCCAACAGACTAGAAAAATTATTAAATCCTAAGACCATGTGCAACACAGCGCAAAAGCCAAACCTCTACAGGAGAACAAAAGGGCAAAGCAGTTCAAAAATTATTTCCTGCAAGCAGGAAATGAAAGCCTAGGGATGCCGGGCCTTGAAACCTTGCCATTTGCAGAATGGGTTTCTTTGTTATTAACTGATCAAAGATAAGCGCACTGGTGATATTAAAGCCAAGAGCTGCAGAGATTTCACCTTCTGATTTGTGTGTTCATAACTGGAGGTTTCATCAGTTCTCCCATATTAATGTAAGCACTTGCTTTTATCATCTGGCATTACCAGGCCCACATACCTATTTCCTTGTTAGTCACACTGCTCCCCCCCCCCCCCCGCCCAATGCGTATAGGAGAAAATTATTCCTTTAGAGATAGTGGGCATAATCACAACAGCTGGATGTCATTTCACATATTATTTTCTCTATTCCTGCCACCTCCAGCCATTGCCTTGGCCACCGTTCTTTCCCCCTTTTTGCCATTACATGGATTAGCCTCCTGCTGTGAAAAATAAGACTTGCAAAACAACTAAACACATGAAGCACTCAGTTTTTGTGTTCAGGTTCATCTGAAATCCAGGAACATTAAGTGCTTCAGTTGCGCTCATTTCACTATAAGAAACGTCTCCTTTTTCCTCTATTATTTTAGTCACCTATGAACTGCAATCTTCTCCCAATGGAAGCATTTAGGTACAAGAGAACTGTGGCTTCACAGCATAGCCACAATGTGTGTGTGTGTATCCCTAAACTCTAGTAACATTCTCCCCAATGGCTTAGATTTTTTTCTAAGTACGCTTTACTACAAAAAATACGTAAACTTTGCATTTTATTTAATATGTACAATGGTTCTCAAATAGAAACATATACATTGAATTGGTTATGTAATATTCCACATAAACTATAAAAAGTTTAATAATGCCATAGTGTAAGTATATATTTTCATGTGCAAGTAATTCATGGTTTAGGACAACAGGCACAATCTATCAAAAGATTCTTCTGTGCTAGTTCTATCCTCAACAGTTTATTCAGAACTAAATGGAGAAAGACTCCCAAGCTGATTATTTTGCATTTACTTTACCAGTTCTTTTTAAAGTTGATCAAGTAGTCTAATTTAAAGGCAATTTAAGTTGATTTATATGTATCGATTTCTATACTATTCAGCAAAGTGAAACATTATTAGTTAATGAGAAACACTACTTTTGTAAAATTCAATCAGGCAAAGAACCTGAAAAAATTCACACATATTTATCTTCATTTAGAAAAAAAATATTTTCAAAAATAGCCAGGTTTGGAGCTATGTATTAAAATTTGGTCAAAATTGCCTGAATAAACAGTCAAGTTTGTTTAGTCAAAAATAGATTTTTCCTTTAATACCGACAAATATGAATATGTATCTAGTTTATACATACATATGTATAAGTGATGTTAATATGCAAAAATGTACAGTTCAACCATTCCTGGATTATGCAAAATTCTGTATCAGGGAACTGCACAAACAAAAATCCTCACTGCAAATCTACATTCAAGCAC